CCCCAAAACACTCTTTGTGACCACTCATTTAGTCCAGGACTGCGGGGTATGGTCAGGTCTCCCCCGTCTATTCAGAGCCTGGGGCTGGAGGTGGGGGTGAGGGGCCCAGGAGCTGGCTGCTGTCTCTGACGCATCTCCCTCCAAGGAGTGTGTCATAGCGCACACACAGACGGCTCTACGGGTGGTCACCAGGCCCAATCCAGGAGCCAAGGAAGTGGACAGAAGGGGGAGGGAGGTGAGCCCTGCCAAGCCATGCCCCCATCGCTTCCCCCAACCCACCACAAGAGGATGTAGCCAGTTGCCTTTAAACTTTACCCTCCCAGGGGATTACACTGACACTTGAGGATGATGACAGGCAGGCCTGGGGGAAAGCCAATAGCAGGAGTGGAATGGAGGAGGGAGGGCGAGCAGGCCGAGGCAGGGAGGACCCATGCGAGGGGCTTCTGGGTGTGTTTGAATTTTACAGAACTTGGACACCAGTGGGAGGGCTTTGGCCATCGGGGCTTCAAATCCAGCTCTGCCTTCCGGGTGAACCTCCGGGCTCGTTCCTCGCAGTGGGGACGATGCCCATTGTCATCTCCTAGCATTGCTGAGGATTTAAGTGAGTGAGTTGGACAGCTTTCATGTCCGGAGCATTGAACTTCAGAGGCATTCAGCCACAATCCGGTGCTCACTGTTGCGGTCCCATTGCATAGTGAGAGTCAAAGAACAAGAGGAAGACAGTTGGAGGAGAGATGGGCGCCCAGGAGGTTCAGTTTGCACAGGGTGGTCGAAAGATCCTTGCGGCAAAGTAAATTGGAGCGAGGCCTTGAAGGAGTGGGGATTGCTTGGGAGAGCAGATATCCTGGAAGAGCATTCAGGCGGAAGGGAACCCGCAGTGCAAAGGTATCTGAGACTGGTGGGTTCAAAACAGCAGGAACACCTGTGATAAGCAGCAAATGGGCAGGCAGGTGCGGAGAAGGTGTGGGGACCAGGACTGGGAGGCTCTGCTTTGACCTGAGATTGAGACCCACCGTGGGAGGGTATTCTGAGCAGGACAGTTCATGGTCTGATGTTCAGAGTACAGTATCATCCATCTTCTGCAGGGAGTGGAGCCACCTAGGAGACCACGTCTTCCTCCAGGCTCGCAAAAGGGGCAGCGTGCTCAGTGCCGGAGTGGAGAGGTAGCTGAGAAGGGTTTGATTTTAGATGTATTTGACAGACAGCCAGCAGTTTTTTGTTTGTTGAGGGGACCCCTGTCTCAAAAAAAAAAAAAAAAAAGACAAAAAGAAAATTGCAGACAGTAAGGCAGAAGTTCAGCTGGGATTGGACTCTTTTTTTTTTTTTTAGACAGAGTTTCTCTCTTGTTGTCCAGGTAGAGTGCAAATGGTATGATCTCAGCTCACTGCAACCTCCGCTCCCGGGTTCAAGCGATTCTCTGCCTCAGCCTCCCAAGTAGCTGGGATTACAGGCATTGTGCTCACCATGTCCGACTAATTTTTTGCATTTTATAGCAGATGGGCTCTTCACCAGTTAGCAGATGGTCTCCATCTCTGACCTTCAGGTGATCTGCCCTCTTGGCCTCCCAAAGTGCTAGGGATTACAGGGTTAGAACCACCGTGCCTGGCTGGAGGCCGCTTAATAAGGTAGCCAAGGTGACTGCTGAGAAAAATATATGCGGGCGCGGTGGCTCAAGCTGTATCCCAGCACTTGGCGAGCTGAGACGGGCGGATCACGAGGTTAGGAGATCGAGGACCATCCTGGCTAACCAGTGAACCCCGCTCTACTAAAAAATACAAAAAAAACTAGCCGGGCGAGGTGGCGGGCGCCTGTAGTCCCAGCTGCTCGGGACGGTGGCTCAAGCCTGTAATCCCAGCACTTTGGGAGGCCGAGACGGGCGGATCATGAGGTCAGGAGATCGAGACCATTATTTGAGCAAGGCCGGGCTCGGTGGCTCACGCCTGTAATCCCAGCACTTTGGGAGGCCGAGGCGGGTGGATCACCTGAGGTCAGGAGTTCGAGACCAGCCTGACTAACATGCAGGAATTCCATCTACTAAAAATACAAAATTAGCAGGGAGTGGTGGCACATGCCTGTAATCCCAACTACTTGGGAGGCTGAGGCAGAAGAATTGCTTGAACCTGGGAGGCAGAGGTTGTGGTGAGCCAAGATTGTGCCATTGCACTCCAGCCTGGGTAACAAGAATGAAACTCCATCTCCAAAAAAAAAAAAAATTTGAGCAAAGACTTGTGGGAAGTATGAGATAACTGTCAGGAAAGAGGGGTCCAGGAAAGGGACTAATACTCACCCCATTACTACTACACTACTATGAACAGACACATCTGAGGAGGCAGTGTTTTCTCTCAGTAGCCTTCCTGGAATCTGTATATATCTAATTCATATTCATGTTAGGTTAAGTGAGCCATGAAGCCAAAGTCTCCCTAATAAGCAGCTTGTCCTGTAAAGCAGAGAATGAGCCCGGCTTGGTGGTTCATGCTTGTAATCCCAGCACTTTGGGAGGCTGAGGCGGGTGGATCACTTGAGGTCAGGAGTTCAAAGCCAGCCTGACCAACATGGTGAAACCCCGTCTCGACTAAAAATACAAAAATTAGCTGGGCATGGTGTCAGATGCCTGTAATCCCAGCTACTCGGGAGGCTGAGGCAGGAGAATCACTTGAACCTGGGAGGTGGAGGTTGCAGTGA